ATGATTGTCTCAAATAGTTTTACTGCCTTGAAATTTGTGCTTTATGGTTTGGTTTCTTGAACAGTAAATGTCTGCTATGAAATGTTCTGCTTTAGTGCAGATACATTTCATTGTGCTTGCAACATAAGTATGAAGTTCATAAGATGTAAACTATAAGGAATCAAGCATTAGGAAGTTCCATGACATTCAGTAACTTTGTCTCTAAATCAAATAGTTGAGAAAAGAAAATAATGTATTGTCACTGGAATGTGTCAGCTAGTGGGAGTATGCAAAATGGGAACCTCCACTATATATATGCTTATTTTTATTTTAAAAAGGGTTTTGTATACATCTAGAAACTTCTGAAATTAGGTTGCATAAACTAACGTGTGACAAGGAGATGCATGCTTTTCTGATGTGTCTCAAAGCAGTCAATCTCTCACTTCACAGGCATTAGCTAAGCACTGTGAATGTGGACTATTCATGAACAACACCATTGCAAAACTCCCATCCAGAACAAAACAATGACGGACCAAAAACCTGTTCTTCTCGTGTTTATTTTTTGAGTCATTTAAACTTGTATGTATTTTATGATTATCATTGTGAATTAACTAAGTATTTTGTAAAAGATTCTCAGCATCCCAATGAATTTGTTTAAAGTCTTCACTGCAGTTCTGACCTGTCTGCTCTACTGTGAGAAATATTACAGTGTTGTTATTCAAAGAGAAAAATCTGTAAAATAAATAGAGAAATAAAGATAAAACATATCCTCTCTATGTGGGTTTCCTAAAAATAAAAAAAAAAAGCCTAAAACAATATTTCAAATAGCTTTTTACATAAAGCAATTTCTTTTTCTAATAAGATGCTTTCTATGTTATTGTTTTGGATTATGAATGCTGTTTCATTTTACAATAATACAATAATGTGTCTTAAAAAGATTCTTTGGATTTTAATACACTAATATTTTAAAGTTACTATAAATATATATAGCAAGTATATTAATCAGAGAATGCACAGAACCTTAAATTTTACTTATGAAATAAGATTATTTTCTGTTAGTATGAATTACTGTATATTTCAATTAGTGTTTGCCCCTGGAGTTATGAAAAACTGTGGCAGCTACAGTTTCAATAACATACAGAATATTTTCACTAGACCCCAAAATCTGAAATGTTTTATGATTGGTGTTTTCCATCTAATTATTTTTATGCAGAAAACATGTTAAAATCAATTTTCATAAAACAAAGCATGTCATGTATAAATACACCTTGATGACAGCAAGAGGATATCCTCATAATTTTATTTTTACTAAAAAATTGTTGATAAATGTAAAGTTGCTGTAAACATAAAATATATATCACCTGTCTTACAATCATATTTTTTTGTTGATTTGGTAATGTGGGGTTAATCCTGGGAAGCTTTTCTTTCAAAGAGTAAGCCTTTTATAATGAAACCAAGGAGAAACCAGAAATCTTTATCCTTGTATGGTCCTAAGAACATTTATTATTTTGAAAATTCACTGTGTACCCTGATTTATGAATTGTACAGAGGATTCCCACAGGGTTCATAACACAGGTCAGAAAGGATGGCAAGCACAGTGTGCCTACTGCCTCTGCTGCTGGCAAGTTTTCCTAGTGATTGACAGAGCCTTGCCTTATGTTTCACCAGAATTCCAAACAACTATGTTCATGTTGCTTTCCCTCAGGGTTCTTGCTGATTTGTCTAAGCCAGGTGGATCCCTGGCTCAGGAATGATGTACCAGAGAACACTGGCTCTCATTCATTGTGTCAAGAGCTATTTCTATTCCTAGATTAAAGCTCTTGCTTTAAGTAACTCTGTAGCCATTATTTATATGATTCCCCAACCTGATGGGCTTTATAAACTAATAAAATTCAGAATTCCTCTTTGAACTATGTTTAGTGGTAGAGTTAATTGCTGTCTTAATGAGCAATCATGCTACATAATCTTTACCATACAGTGTTCTTTAAAAATTCTTCATTGTAGATATTTTATTTTGAATTTCATGGGATGGATATCTAGCATCGATATGTGATCTACAGACTACAATTCTAAATGTGAAACAAGAGACTATGGTAGTAGCCTCTTTGGTGATAGTTTAGAATAAGGTGGGGCATTTGATAATAAGAGCCATGTGTGCATATTAAGTACGATGATTCATCTGTAATTCTAGCAATTAGCATATATAAACAGGAGGATCATAGGTTATGACCTGTCTCTGCTATGTAGTTAAGTCTGAGATGAGTAGCCTTGGCTAAAAGACATCCTATACAAACACACACACATGCATGCACACACACACACACACACACACACATACACACACACACACATGAGCACACACGAATTCACGTGAACACACACAAACGAGAGCACACACACACTCAATGAGACCAATCCAAGACTTTCTCAGAGGCTCTCATAAAAGGACAAGTGGAACTTTCACTCTTTGTTTTAGCAATGTCTGTCTAATTCTAGGCAGGAATAAAGTTTGTAGCTTCTCAAGATCAGCCGTTTTCCTCCTGGTTACCATTCCTTCGACAACTGTGTCTGAATTATCCCATATTCTCTTTGCCAGTATTAGCAATCCCCCTCTCACTCACCCCTGCACAAATAGTATATTTTGCTGTACTTCTTCATGAACTTTCTTAGCAGAAGTCACCAGCATGGGCAAGACTTCCTGGTCCGAGCTACTCCTTTTCTCTTCTTTATTTCCCATCCCTGGTCCTCCCACCCAATATCTATTCATTTAGGGAACACACACACACAGACACACAAACACACACAAACACACACACTAGCACACATGCACACATACACATCTGCACATACACATGTGAGAAAGATAGAAAAATATGAACAGAAGCAGAGACAGAGACAAAGACAGATCCAGACAGAAAGACAGAACAAGATATTTGATTTTATTAGACAGGGAAAGGGAAAATTATTAAGAAAGAGAACCTCCCAGCTGCCATGATGGCTCAATTGGGAAATCTTTCTCACTAAAGCTTGAGATGTTAAATTCCTGTTATCCACAAAATAGAGAACTAACTCCCATCAGTTGTTATCTGGATCAATCCCCCCCATCTCAACTTACATATCATAGGATACAGAAATTAAAAAAAACAAAACAAATAAATAAATGCTAAATCCATTTAAAACTACAATCAGAAAACTTTAACATAATTTTATCCAATTATATATAAGAAACAAAAATAATGTGACCTTAACTCAATTCTTATGAAGACAGAAGATGCTTAATAGGAAATAGAGATTCCAATCTTCAGCAGGATACATTTAGTAAGGTCCTTCAAACTTCCTACAAGTGTGACATCAGAGAAGACCACATAGAGAAAAGGCTTCCTTCTCTTCTAAGCAGATAAAAGGAAAAGCATGTACCAAACTTATAGTATAGCTTAAGATTACACATCTCCAAAATAAAACACAAAACAAATAAACAGAAGTTAACTAAAACAAACAAGAAGAAAACAATGATGAAAAGAAATCAAAAAGAAAGAAAACATGCTATTATTTGATTTGCTCCATTTAGATTCTTATCTGTTTTTTTATTGTTGTTTTAGTTTTGTTTGCTTTCATGTTTGTTTTCTAACAAGAGAAAGAATGCCTCTTGTTGGATGGGTGTGGAACCTAGAAGGATCTGGAAGGAATTGAAGGAAGGGAAACATTGATGACAATGTATAGTATGAAAGAAATCTATTTTTAAATATAAATCAATGAACATACACATCTCCCTAAGATTCAGCACCACCTAGCAGTAAAAATCCTTATGACTCTGTCCTCACTGAGTCTGTGATGGACAAATAGAGAACAAAAGACACTGTTGTTATAGTAACAATCAGAATATTTCAAATGTAATACAATGAAGAAAGATAATGGATGTCTATTCCAAAATAATCAAAGGACATTACAGGTCATAAGATGAAAAAGTTTGATATCAAAATTAACTCTAAAGAACTCATTTTCTCATAGCATATCAACTATAAAATATTCTGAAAAGGGCATAGAAACAATTTTCTTTGACATTAAAATACAACTTAGAGACAGAAAAATATTGACAGAAAACTGCATGAGAAAAATCTATTTGGTTTCAGATTCCCAAATAACATTTCTTCTCATCCTTTTAAAGTACCATAGGAAATCAAGTATTTGTTAGTTAAAATGGCAACTACTAACTTCTCCCTTATTGTGAATGGTGCTGAATCTCTAAGCAATATGAACGTTTTGTTTTGTTCCATCATAGTGAAAATTGCAGCTGAGCAAGCAGGCTACATGCATTTCTTACATGTGGGTGGCTAGCTTGCTTTGACTCTAAATAGTACAGGATTTAACAAGAATGGAGGCTGTAACCCATGCTCTCTGCCCACATAGAGCCATTTATGTTGGGTCACTTGCAGTTTCTTCTTCCTTACAGATTCATTCAAGCAACAAGAGCTTCCCCAATAATCCAACTGAAAACACATTCATGCTGTCAACGCATCAAGTTTTCCAATCAACAAGCCTCCAAAGGGAGAATAAAGACAGTTACCTTTCCCAAATGCTTTGTTTCATATTAATGATCCAAATGCTGCCCCATTTTCAAAACAACAGAAAAGGTGGCACATCACCATTTGTTCCTCCTTTCATTCTGAATTCTGGCAGGCCTGTTTACCACCCTTTAAACTCCCAGGGCAGCGTGTAGAAACATCTGTTTGAGTAACAGTTTGACTCCCCATTATTCTGCATAAATCTCCAGTAGTAAAAGTTTTATGAGGTGGGTACTTTCCTGTTTCATCCTTTTGTAGCTGACTAAAGGATCAAGTAAACAAAATGAAATGGCCAGACTTTTAGCCATATGCCGACATCCACACATGTACAGATGGGAGGGAACAGAAGCTGTCAGCTGTACCAAAGAAACATTATAATTATCTGAAAGGTAATTAACAACTTCATCCTTAATAGATCTTTGAAGGATTTTAGTGGTGTAAATTATAGCTCTCACATACCTGTAACAAGTTGTCTATGTACCAGTTTTCCTGTTTGCCAAGCTTGAATCCAGTTAATTTACTGAGATTTTGAAGAGGTGTCAGGATGTCTCCATTGTGTCAAATTACATGCATTATTCTTTGTCCCTTTGGTAATTCCTATATCAAGTAAAATTAAAGTACATAATTAGGCCTACAGCTTAGTCAAGGCTACATTTTTATTACATGTGACTTCACTAGAAACAATTTGATTGCTATTTGCACTAAGGGCAATCATACAGAGAAGTTTCAAAATAAGTATATTACGTGTCATCATGGTTTTGCGTCTGTACTGATAGTAAATAAAAGTCTGTCTAGGTCAATGAAAGATAAGACATCTATGAGTTATTGATCAATGTATCATATTTCTTTAAAATGTGCTTTTAAATTGAAATAAAATTATATTCTCATGAACATTTGACAAGGAGGAGTTAACATGGACCTGGTTCTGTGATGGTTATTTTTCTAAGTATTATTTTATTGAGTACCCCTTTTCAAGATTCTGTTCTCCCTGCTCTCCGGAGAAGCTATGTCTCTATTAGTCTCATCATTTAAATAAAGAAAAAAATCAAGTTTAACATGTTAATCAAAATCTATGGCTCTCTTTCGTTATTCAAGTAAGGGAGAGAAGCATAGATTATTTTACTATACTTAAACAGTCAAAATAGTTTGTATACAAAATATGATCTAAGATAAAAATGAAGCACCTTTGCATTAGAACTTTGGTGAATCTTAAGCAAAACAATCTATGAAATTTATATCATAATTAATTTTGTATCTTTTATTAGATATTTGTATTACTTTTAAATAAAAATAATAGCATAGATTTCAGTTGAGCACAAGACCTTAGAAGGTGAAACCAAGATGGAGTTAATCATGTTAAGCATCACATAATCATAGTAAAATTTCATAAAACAGAAAAAAATCCAAAAGAAGCTAGTTTTTAACAAATGTAAAGGAGATATAGGTTCTATCCCAAAAAGGTCTTGTCACTTGAGGTTTGGTAATGTATGTCCCTTCTCTTTCAGTTTAACAAAGGAAACTGACAAAATGTCACACATTAATAACCAGCCAGCTTGAATTTAACTTCTGCTAGTCTCTTCTTCTTGTTCAAGCTATTCTTTTAAGCCCAAAATACAGCTCTCTCTTTTAATAGATAGAATGCTATCCAATTCTTAAACTTATTTGGAAATCGAAACAAAGCAAATCAGATCTGAACTGAATTTGTTGAAATTTTCGTCTTCAACATAATTGTGATTATTTTTCTGTTGCTGTGATAAAACACTGAAAAGAAGTGACTTGGGGTATCTTTCATCTAATACCTGACTTTAGCTTTCCATCAGAAGGATGATATTCAAGACAGGATTCTACAAATAGGAATTTTGGTGAAATATTGTTGATGACTTACTCTCTGACTTGTTCTCTCACAGGCTTATTCGTGAATAATTTTTTATACTGTCCAGTACCAACAACTCACCAGTGATGGTAACACCTGATAGTATACTGGACCTTCCTAAATAAGCTAAAAATCAAGTCAGTTGCCCCTATATATGCTCACATGCCAGTCAAAGCAGTTGGATATCTAGGCAATTCTTGAGTCAAAAATTTACTCTCAGATGCCTTTAGGCTGTCTCAGTTCGCAAACACAGATAACATGGATATACATCATATTATTTTAAGGTTTTCTATTACTCTACACCAACCTGAAAAATATTCTGTAAACATTTTGTATTTATGGGACTTATCTAATTAAACTCAATAAAAAATTACATTCACTTAAATCAGTGGTTCTCAAGCTTCCTAATGCTACAACCATTTAATAAAGGTACTCATGTTGTGGTGGATCTGTAACCATAAAATTAATTGGTTGCTACTGTTGTGAGTCACAATGTCAACATGTGTGTTTTTCCATGTTCTTGGTAACGTCTGTAAAAGAGCTACTCAATCCAAAGGGTCCACTACTCACAAGTTGAAAACTGCTGACTAAAATCATTGTATTTTTAAATTTTATTGTTCTTATAGTAACTATTTTATTAATATACTATCGACCATTATATTGTTCTTTGCCTTATTTCTAAAAGTCATTATGTAAGAATAATAAAAACACTTCTGTCGTCTCCTATTTAAGAAATAGCTAACCAGAGGCTGGAGAAAGAGTTCAGTCTTGCCAGTCCTGGTTACAGAAGGTGGCTAGTTCAGCTCCATGTCCCCTTTTTACTAGGGGTTGCTAGGATCAGCCTCATAGAGTTCAGTCACTTTCCACTGCAGTAGATTTTCATATCGCCCCCTCCATGTCCATCTTTTCCACGCATCTCTCCTCATACTCTTTCCTTTCCTCCTCCCTCCCCTGTTCCCATCCAATGTCCCCCTAGTCCACCCTCAAAAATGTAACTCCCTAAAAGGGAGATAGATGCATGTCCCCTCAATTTCTCCTTCTTATCTAACATCTCTAACTCTGTGGATTGCTCCAGTGGGTGGGACTGGGACATCAACCTAGCCAGAAAATCTACCGCCATGTCCTTCCAGCAAAATGTGCTGATTTAATGTTGGGTCAGAACTTGGGGAAAGTGGCCATCTAATAACTGACCTACATTGAGACCCAAGGCAAGAGAGTGAGCTCATGCCCTACACAGCCTGGATGTTCAGGATGCAGAAAATGAATGACTCGGAGACCTAGGGTAGAATCAAACATGGCCGCCAAAAATTTTATGAAATAATTTTGAATAATATTCTGGTATATTCATAGATTGATATCTAGCCCAGTTATCATCAGAAAGGCTTCCTCTAGCTGCTGAGAGAAGCAAATCATAGACCCCCCAGGAGAACATTAAGTGCATTTCTTCTTTGTAGAAGACAGGGAGAAAGGAGTATAGAAAGAAAGAAGTTGAAGACATCAAGAGAACTTGGCCCACACAATCAATTAAGCAGGGCTCATGAGGGCACACAAAAGCTGATGCAGCAACCAAACAGCCTTCATGGGTTCCCAAAGTCCTCTGCATACATGCTATGATTGTTCAGCTTCAAGTTTTGATAGGACTCCTGTTGGGAACTGACTCATAGCAGAAAGCGGCTATCATCTTTGCAGTCATCTTGAGCCATATACCCTGACAAGAGATTGGTTTTCAACAGCCCACAACAGCTGAGCACACTCTGATAAACATCTTGTTTTTCTCACATATCTTGTTTTGCTGTTTAGTGCCCCCAGCTGCAAGATACACGTGGTAGCCACGCTGCAAGGCACATGACAAAGCACCTTCAGCTGTGTTCCCCTGCTTGCCCACAAGTGCAAGGCATGTGGTGAGGCATATAAATACCCAAGATTTCCTTTCAATAAAAGGGAGAGAGACTTGAACAGACTCTCTGTCTTATCTCCATTCTTTGCATCTCTTGCCCTTCCATCCCTACTCTTTCGATAGACCCTGAACCGTGGACCGGAGCAGCAGCTTGGCTGGGGCAAAGTGGCCCCCAAACATGGAGCAGAATGGGTTGTTAGAGACTCCAAACAGTAGAAATTGGAGTGTCTCTGATTCTTTTGCCTGCTTGTCGATCATTTTTCTCTACTGGTTTGCCTCATCTAGCCTTGATTAAAGTTCATGACTTGCCCTGTTACATCCTGTTATCCTGTAAGGTTGATATCACTGGAAAGCCTGATCTTTTCTGATGGGAAAGGATGAATGGTGGATCTGTGGAATGAAGTGGTAGGTGCAAGGGCTTGGAGGAAAGTAAAGAGGGAAGGTGGCTGGAGAGATGTGTTGTATGAAAGAAGAATAAAGAAAAAAAAAGAAGACTGCTTTATCTTTCATAGGACCCATTTTTGAGTCCCAGCACTCACACCCATGACTTAGGAATATCTGTAACTACAGTTGTAGGGACTTGTCTGACCTCTACAGAGACCAGGTATTCTTGTGGTTTGTAGAAACCCATATATGTATACACTTAACAGTAAAAATAGCCAATCATAATTTTTTCTATGTTTATTTTCACTGTAATTTCCATATTCTTTCTATATCAATACTTCTTTATTCTGGTTTTTCTTTTGAAATGGTTATAACTTGTAGCTCTCACTGGTTAATAAATTAAGAAACCCCTAATATCTGTTCATTTTGTATTTCCATGAGTTCTTATTTTCTCCAATTTGAACATTATTTTTGACCAATTTAAAACTTTAGGGGTCTAGATCAGTGGTTCTCAACTTTCATAATGATAAAACCATTAAATATAGTTGCTTATGTTGTGGTGATTCCAAATGATAAAATCATGTTGCTGCTCTGCTGTGTTATAACTGTAATTTTACTACTTTTATGAATCATACTGTAAATACCTGATATGCAAGCTATCTGATATATGACCCTGCAAAAATGCCATGAACCATAGGTTGAGAACAATGGCATGAAAAGTGCTTTTAAAAGACAAGGTTTAACAGGGCTCCAGGTATTTCCTGAGAGCCACAGACATCTTCTACACACTTCTTCATTATTAGACACTATGCTAGTTCCTAGGGCTGCATAATAAACACAGGCCCTTTCTAACTCCACGGTCAAGGAGACTGGGTAAAATCGTCCCTGTAAACCATGTGTAAAGGTCTTCCAAAGATATCCTAGACCTTAAAATAAATCTTGACTTTCTCAAAATCATTTCCTGCATGAAGGACTGAATTAAAATATATTTAAACCATACTAGTCTTTCCTATCATAACTCACTGTTCAAAGTCCTACTATGAAATCTCGAAACCAAATAGATCTGTATAAGCAAAGATACAATACTGCTAACTTTTAATCCTAAAAGTCACCTTGTGAAGTAGGTATTCTTCCATATTTATAGATAAGAAAAATGAGCCTCAAAAAAAGTAATGTTTAGACAAAACCATTGCACTTTAGGATAGAGAGTGATAACTATGCCTCAAAGTACTATATCCGAATTTACAGATAGAAGCAGAGCTCAGTGTGACACAATGGATCTCAAAATTCCACTGCTTCTAAATCTGATTCCTCTATCTATTTAACTGGAACCAATAACAAAGGAGAATAAACCACACTTATCTGTCAGCAGCCTTGAGAAAGCAGAGAACAAGAAGTTAAAGAGTTACATGGTCTCTCTGTAGCCTAATTTGCCTCAATAGT